TATAAGAATAGTCTGTCGCACATCAGAAATGTTAGTGAACTTGGGGCGTGAGGGTGTCCCAACCAAATTAGGAGTTCAATTTGATCCAAAATTATTTAGGTGATTTGTGTGGTGAGAGAAAAAAATAATTTGAGCTTACTATCTTTGAGATCAACCATCATGATTTAGAAAGAATATTCAGAAGCCTTAACCATTGAAATTTTACATGTATCCACTTTTAATCCATCTATAACTTTAACTAGTCAAATATTATCTTAAACAATTCAAGATAAACTAGGAATCATATTCTCTCACAAAGAGATAATTAGAACTTCGAATACAATTATGATTTGGTCAAATATTCTAGTTATTAAGAAAATCACTAAAATCATTTTAACAAAAGACTAACTAAAAAATATTTCTAATAAAATAATATTTTATAACTAAAAAAATCTTGTCTTTTTTTTTTTGAAAAAAACAAGTACACATAGAAGTTGGCATGCCAATTAATGGCACGCGTGGGCTTGGTGGACTTCACATGATGCCCCTATGTGGTGCCCACATGTGTGGGGCCTGGGTCCTTAGCCTTTATGTCGATCCTACCAAAAAAATTCGAAATTTCAAAAACACCCCTGTAATATTAAAATTTCCGAGATACTATTTTAGGGTTTTTACACATTAAAAAATCGTTTTAAAATTCTAAAAAATCTTAAAGATCACATTAATGTATTTTTAGTTGAAAACAATATTTTTTGAGTTTCATATAAATCCAAAACACATAGAAACACAATTTAGAAGTGGTTAGGAATCTAATAGGTCAAAAAAATAGGAAAAAAAAAAGGCACTCCACCCATGTCAAGAACCACGATCTACTACTGCCTTCTCAAACTAACCAACGGGACCTATGACCTACAGTCAAGTACAATGACTCTTAATTGACCTATCATAGTTAGCCAATAAACAGTAGAACCACAGTCCTACTAAATAAATTACAAGTTCCCCGCTTCTAAACAAGTTAAAATGGACACGCAGTGGAAAGGGGATGCTCAAATGTGTCCCTCTTCTATATAGGGTTGATTCTAAAAAAAAATGTGATTGCCATATGTACATGTTGTGAGGAAATTTTGTCGAGGATTTGTCTCTCATTCTCATGAGGCCCTTCCTTCGTACACAGGAGACCATATAGCTTTCTTATATTAAAAACAATGTCTCTAGGCATCTGTCTGACATCAACAAGGGATGACTCTCAACAAACCCTCAATAGTAGTGCCACATGCTTAGGGGTAAGGGGTTTGGACATGACTCAGGCTATAGACTAACTCAATTAGAAGTCAATTAGCCACAATACATTCCAACTGAAGGATCCAAAATTCTACATGTTTATTGTCTCCGCAACCACGATATTAAATAGAAGACTAATAAATAAATAAAAACACAAACCTTCTATTTTGAAGTTTAATTTAACCTTCTATTTAATTGTTTTTTTTTGACCTTTCATGGCAATTCTTCAAGAGTCACAAGATCTGCTCTGTTTTTGGAACCCTAAATTCATGGATTAGGACACAAAAATGGATTTGTAGACATTTGGGATCTATTTCAAATCCTCAATCAGTAGGAAACTCGGGGATTCATGCATCCTATGATGCACTAAAAAAAAATTCTTTATTTAAAGGGTGATGGATTCCTCCCACACTACGTTAGTCGATCACTCATTGCAAGTTCTGCGATCCAAATAACGGCCCATACAGAATCGTAATTCTTGGTTTGCCCACCCATAATATTGAATGGATTAGTATAGATCTGAGGGCATACTGAGCCATCTAATGCAGCCAACAACACCCACCTTTACCTTAATATTTATGGTTACGAAACTCGATCTATTTCAATGGGTCTAAGTAACATGGGCACGTGTTTTAAGGTTTTTTTGCACTTGCCAACCCTCCTGACATACTCATCTTAGCACTTAGAAAAAAAATTTCTTCATTTTTTTTCTTAAAATTTTACTAAAAATATACTTACTTTCACCTAAAATATCACTTTTAAACTTCTTTAAATAGAATAAGGTGCGCCATAATTGAAAAACAGACTTGCATCCATATACAATGCTGCCATGTCACATCAATGCTATAAAAATCCATATTAGTTGGTATGATGGCATGGGCTATTTGGACAGAATAATAACAATAGGAAGACAAAACAGCAAAATTATTTTTTAAAAAGAACAGCTTAATGGCCTATCTTTGGAAAATATCATATATAACAGAATTTATAACTGCTTATAATTTTTTTAAAGAATAACGTATAAAATCACTCCATTACCAACTTTCCTTCAACACTTTTAACATGCAAGTGACAAATTACACTCCATTCGAGAACACCAGGGGAAAAATCAATTGATGCTGACAAATTCTATAGTTTCTTGGTTGTGGGGTTTAAACCAGAAGCAGAATAACGCAGAACTCAGCACTTCGTGTTTCTATATTTGGGCAAACAGCATGCAGGCCTAGTGAGACTTATCATAGTGACAGGGTAAGCCTCTCCAGTCCTAATCATACCCTTGATTTCCAAATTTTTCATCTTTGCATGTCACTGATTTGTGAAGCATCTGTGCATCTGGCATTGGAAAATTGCTCATCATTAGATGTTCTAATACAAGATTCCAAAGAGAAAAAAGGAATGGTTATCAAATATCAACAAATGGATTTCATAAGTACAGGCTGCCACAAATATGCCCAGCTTATAAACCGAACTATCAGCCCCTTGCCAACAACACGTCCAAACCTTTAACCCGGCCATCTTTTGAAAGGTCATTTCGTTTGCTCCCACCTTTCATCTCAAAAGAATCATCCACCTCACGCAGATCCCTGATCCCCCTTGCAAAACCGGAATCCTCATCGAACTGTGAACTTCTAGAAGTGGTCCCAGTTCTAAAGGCAACAGGGCGAAGCTGCAATAGCACGTGCATTCCTATGACTATAAGTGCAACATTTCCAAAAAACCCAACAACCCTATCCAACTTCACGGAGTTTTTGGCAACATTAAGCATCTTCGAGAGGGCACTAGAGCTCTTCTCTTCATCTTGAAAATGTTCTCCACTTTGTAATGGTGGCATTTCATATAGATTCTCGGGTGCAACAGAGCGCTCCACTGCTTCCACATCACCAACAAAAGCTAGGGCTTCCTCAATCACTCCATATTTCTTGCCCCGATGATCAGCCAGCCTCATGGCCAGAACCATGCGACTTTGTTCCAGCCTTGCCATAGCCACATCTCTTTCTGCCCTTTGCTGTGACTGCACAGTCTGCATAGTGCAACAGAAAAAATAGTGGCCTTCCATCAAAGCTATTTTGGTGATCATGTAAACCATTACAATTCATACACGGTGCAAATTCTTACAGGCTTTGATCACAGAAAATAAGTCATTATGAACAGGAAATGAACAACAGTTTTTTATTTTTTATTTTTATTTTGGGAGAGAGGGGTTCGGGAGGGAGGCAAGTAAGCACTGAGATTTACTGTTAAGATGATAATACAATAGAAATGTCAGTTTGGTTAATCAATGGAGAAAATGGAAACACTTATAGTTCAGTTTCATCTTTAAATTTATTTTCATTTCCTTTTCTTCTTTACAATCGTTCTTTTTATATAAGTTCTTCTTTACAATCATTTCTTTTCAGTTTCCTTCTCTTTTCTTTGGAGCATGCACTTGATTTTTTCTTCCTCTTTGTTTTTACTCTCTTTCAGTCAATTGTTTTATAAAATAATCCTATTTTGCAATTTGTTATAATATATTAGGTCTAGGCCATCATCAGATGTACATAGTTGATCCAGGATATGCATGTAAATAAGTATAAAGCACTGGCATTATTTTCACTCAGAAAACTTTATGTATAATTACCTGGAAATTCAAGGGTATTCCTGTGACCTTTCAATAAAAAGAGTATGCGACTATCATGACTGCTACATGACTGCTACGTCCTTCGGGCCGATGAGAACCAATAAGCATAGGCCACTCAATCATAAAGTAGAGCCTTGGTCCTGGACCATGAGCCAACAACCCAATGCAAATTTATTAATGCCTTGACTTGGAACAGTAGCACCTTGTGAACCCACAGACTTGACTGCCTGCGGATTGTATTAGATATAGATTCAAAGGTAGAGTGGCAACAACATGTCAAAAGGAAGAAGATAAAAGGAACTGAATTGGAAGGCAAAATTGATCAAGAGGGTACAAAAAGAAAAACAAAAAAAAAGATTCCAACCCAACCACCCATTCCCATGAGGAGAGGTATCAGAATAAATGTCTTTAGAAGGGGCCCTTTGGATGGCCCTCATTTTTACCACAATGTGGCAACAGATCTGAATACCCTAAAAGCAGATAGCATTTTTGGACTTCTGTAAGAAGTGCACTTAATTTGGGCAACTTGGAATCAGGTCGAACCTAATTCAATGCCAAACTTAGCAATTGGTACTCTGCATATTGAAATTCTCAGAATTACATCCTGGCCAGAATCCGTTCGCAAACAAGATCTAAATCTCCCTGAACACTCTTCTGAAAGTCATTTGAGCGATTGAACTCATGAGATGAATGCTGGAATGATATGCCAGCCAAAGTTGGCCTTTGAAAGCATTCAATCTCATATTCAAAAGAGGAGATCATCTATTTGACTGATGATCTTATTGAACTCATGAGATGAATGCTGGAATGATATGCCAGCCAAAGTTGGCCTTTGAAAGCATTCAATCTCATGATCAAAAGAGGAGATCATCTATTTGACTGATGATCTTAATGGCACCATCATGTCTTCGAGTATATATTGTAGTCCACCTCTGGAACAAGGCAGATGTGGGGCAAGAAACCTAGCAAGGTCACAGTTTATTCCCTAAGCCATCATGTAAAGACTTATTTCATAGAAGGACCCAAATAATGGTTAACAGCACAAAATAAATGAAACTCAATTTTAGAAGAAAATCAAAATATAAATCCAGTACTTCTTTCTACATGTTTTAATAAAAGGAAAAAGTTTATATAAGGGTGAGGCCCTAAACAATCAAATTAAGGCGTGTTGGGTATTTGTGGCTATTAAAGGCCTTTTGAGAGCATGTAATCAATATATTCATATAGTGGAACATAAACTCAATGAGAATATGATCCAATTGGACCAAGATAGGAAAATGATATTTGCCGAGACTCAAACTAGGCTTAATGCGCTAGGCTAGTCGAGATGGAAAACCCTTAATTCTCTGGGCTTAGAGCACAACCAAGGAGGGTTAGCAGATGAGGTCGGAGTTGCCCAACGTAGAGAGCCAAGAGAATGTGTGACCCTTGCAGCATAGAGTACGAAGGCCTAGTTTAAGAGTTCTTGGGTAGGCCCTTGAAAGGGAGGTCAGGAACTGAGGTGGCGGGAGGCATATTGGGACCCCGTATGGCTGCTTGGATTTTGGCTAAGGGGGAGACTAGCAAACCTCCTCAAGTGCCTCAGCCAGCCTGTCTTGGACGGAGCTTGCCCCCTGTGTTGGCCAGAGGCTATGTCTTGAAGGCTCCAGGCACCTGAGGGCTGCCGGAGGCTAAGTTCAACCCTTGGAGCGGTCGCACCTCAGGACCGAGGAAACTAACACCACTCCCATACTTGAGGGAAGTATGGAAGTCTTGAGTCATGGACAAGGCTCCCTCGAGGTGCACGGGCACCTGTGGAGAGTGTGCAATGTAGCGAGGGGGTGCAGCAGAGATGGCAGGCACTCGGCTTGAGCTCAAACCCACCTTGGAGACTAACAACCTAGCACAACGTCCTAGAAGGTGACCAGACACACGACCCATCATGTTCAGCGAGAAACAATGCAATCAGGCGCGGGACCCAACAACTGGCATAACGCCCTGATAGGTAACCAGGCGCATGACTCGTCATGCTCAACGAAAAACAAGGCAGTTAGGAGCAAGACCAAGCTACCTAGCATCATGCCTTGACATAATGCCCTGGCAGGTGGCCAGGCGCATGACCCGTCACGCTTAGCAGGAAACAAAGCAGTCACACGCAAGACTAGGCAGGTGGCTAGGCGTATGACCGTCATGCCCAGCGGAGAAACTAGGTAGTCAGGCGCAAGACCAGGTGACCTGGCAGGTGGCCAGGAGCACGACCCGTCATGCCCAGCAGTTAAACGCAAGACCCGTTGTAACGCCCTTGCATGTTATCGCTCAAGGCATGGGGCAGTTGGCTGCCAGTCAGCTACCCATGACCCAGTCTAGGTAGGTGCATGTACACCATGTATCCTGGATTTGAATTTGTAGAACAAGGCTATATAAACCCCAGGCCCAGACCCTTGAAGGGGGCATCAGTAGCAGTATATTGTAAAAGCAAGTGTAAAGCTTTGAATAAAAAAAGGTGCTGAGGCCCTTGACCAAAAACGCATGTTGGTGTATGTGCTTGTGAGTGTCCCAAGACCTTAAACCGATGAGGTGTGAAGGCTGGTCTAGCCTTAGTCAAGTAAAGACATAGGCTAGACACCGCAAGAGGCAGACAAAAAAAGTGTCACGGGAAGGGGTTAGTTTTTTTTTGTTTACCTCGTGCAGTGTCTAGCCTATGTCCTTGCTTGACTAAGACTAGACCAGCCTTAACACCACACCGGTTTAAGGTCTAGGAACACTCACAAGCACATACACCAACACACTCACGTTTTTGTCAAGGGCCTCCACCCCTTTCTTTATTCAAATCTTTACGTTTGCTTTTACATATAATGTCATAGATTCCCTCTTCTAGGATATGGGCCTGGGGTTTATATAACACTCTACAAATGAAAATCTAAGACACATGGTGCACATGCACCTATCTAGACTGGGTCGTGGGCAGCTGACAGTTGGCCCCGTGCCTTGATCGGTTATATGCAGGGGCATTATGACAGGTTGTATACCTGGTCTTGCACCTAACTGCTGGGCATGACAAGTCGTGCGCCTGACCACCTGCCAGAGCGTTATGCTAGGTCGTCTGGTCTTGCCTCTAAGTACCTAGTTTCCCTCTGAGCATGACGGGTCATGGGCCTGGCCACCTGCCACGACGTTATGCTAAGTTGCCTTGTCTAGTGCCTAACTGCCTTGTTTCCTGTTGAGCATGACCGGTCGTGCGCCTGGCCACCTGCTAGGGTGTTATGCCAGGTCGCCTAGTCTTGCGCCTAACTGCCTTGTTTTCCGTACGTGGAATAATGAAAAAGAATGCACCATAATCAAATAATCAATATTGTAGAATTTCCTCCCCATCCGTAAACAAAACTTTACCAATTTCAAAAAAACTCAATTTCTTTCACCATATTTCCTTAAGACTCACTTGACCTGCGCTTCTCATTGAAACTAGATTTAGGGGCTTCTAGTTACCTTGTTGTGCCTTACAATCTTCCTTCACATAGCTTATTTTTCCACACTCTAATCTACACCCTTTCGACTTGGATCTTGATTGATTCCATCCTGCAATTCTCTGATTGATATGCCCAAGCTACAAACACAATCTCAAAGGATTCATGATAAACTTTCACCTAGAATCTTCAGTAAAAAGTATATATACACTACAAAGTAAAATCTACTGTGCAATATTGAAATTCATGACCAACCCATCTCATGGTTCCGACATAGAACAAAGTAATATGGTTGTCGTGTATTTTTTGTCAATTTTCACATCCAATGCCATCTAGGTCATTGAACTCATTCAAGTGTCCTTCCAATGAAGCATCATCAGTTACCTAGAGATTATAAAATTGCGAACAAAGAGAAATTTTTTGTTAGAAGAGGTTCGACTTCATAAGTATTTTTTAGCCTATCTTATAAATCCATTGTTGATGTTTTCAAGGCAACATTGATTAAAAAAGATCCAAGGCCAAAAGAATATTTACCATGACCAACTAATCATTCTCATCAAAAACCCCTTCTCCCATCCTTTTTTGTCTCTTATCTTTGTCTGTCAGGGGAACTTTGCAACCATCTTTCACTAACATCGCATGCATCTTCAAAGATCTGCAACCTACCACAAACCCCTTGCCCAACAAGAATATCAAACCCTAGAGCTCTGATACTAAATTTAGAGGATAAAAACCAATTTGTGGATAAAAACAAAAGGGGAAAGAAAAGTGTGCAAAAATTAAAGAGCAAGCACAAAGATTTATATAGTTCTTTCAATTGTCTATACCCACATGGTAGCAGACTTTCTTTTTTGCTAATTAAAAAACAGCATGCAAGCATGGTGAATACAAGAGTTTTGAAACTCTCTCACAAACCCTAAAACAAAGTCTTTCTCTAGAATATCAACCCAAAGGCTAAAG